AGGATAGGTTTTCTTGTCTCATCGGTTAAATTCATTTAATTCATAATGCAATTAATAAATGCACTCTCTTCTTTATTACGTGTTAAAAGCATGTAATAAATGTCTTACATGCATTGCTTCGTACATAGTTTATCTAATCGAAATTAATTTTRRTATATCAATACTTTGATATTTTAAATAAATGAGCAAGAAGACAAACTCATTCGCGACGGATAGACTTTGGCAGTTAAGTGGCGGCTCAAAGCCCAGTTCTTTCATTAGAACAGCCAACTTAATGAAAAAGTCGTCCGAGGTTTGCAAAAAATATCCATCATCATTGTAGAGTCTTTTAATACATCCTTACCTCGAAACTATAATTGTTTCATATGGGGTAACTTTTTTTTTTTATTCGCTTGTTTAATGCCGAAGAGGCCCCCACTTAATTGTGGCTGAAGAGGGCAACTACAGGCTATTGAGTTATTTTCAAAGGTTCAACAGCAAGTTCGAATCTTTAGAGAATGGCTCTCTAGTCATATTTTATATTTTATTGTTTTACTTTTTTGCTCGTCATTAATTTCTAGTTATAATTGGAGATGACGAATCATTTCATCTCCTTGGGACACCAAATTCGTGTCTATATCGTCAAAAAGATGCATATATGTTTAGTTAGTTCGAGTCAAAATATTTAAATTCCCTTATTATTACATTTTGAAGCCTAATTATCGTTTTTTGAATATTAAAGTAATCTCTCTTTTCTTTTTTGTTTTTAAGATTTGGAACTTTGATCGTATTTTATTAAATTTGTAATTTTTTTTTTCTATATAATGCAGTTTAAAACTATTAGTAATAATAATTTTCTTTAGTAACTTATTATTTGTTCTTTTACTTTTTTATTTTTTTTATTTTTTGTAAATGTAAAATTACGCGTTTAAATTTAATTTCATTCCAACGGTAAATAGATATTTGATAAACATAAATCGAGAATTTAATTAAAAAGTGTATCTGCGAATTGGACGATTTATATGTCAGGCTATTGCATAAGCTGATTGTATGATTAATATAGTTTTCTTTTTGTTACAGGTGATCTTCGTTGGATTTAACAACAAACCTTTTTGATTCTCCTCTTGTTTTTTATAAGATATGTATAAATTCATTTTTGAAGGCACACATGTAAACACTAAATATAACATTAAATATTTGCACAGGTTTACAAAAGATTTTAAATATGTTTGTTAATAAAGTGTTTAATTTATTAACATTTCTGTTTCAGATTTAAGACTTTAATTGATCTACTTGTTTTTTTTTATTTTTATAATATTTATGTGAGTGTGTGTGTGTGTGTGTGTGTTGTGACAGGCATCTCAAAAAGAATGTGATTTTATTTTGCTTGTTTCTATGATACGAGAAAAAATGTAGGATATTCGAAAAATCATTGGTACAAAACTTGATGAGAAAAGAGGTGAATGAATAAATTAGGCAACGTAATCTTTCATCTAGGTGCAATTTCAGAATTATAGTAGCCAAAAATCTGTAAAAATTCTCAAAAGTTTTTTTAATGATGTTAAAAATTATAAAAAAGTTTTAGCAAAATTGAAAAGGGTCGGGGTCCAAAATTTTCGATTTGACGTGGAATGCCTCATATATATTTAACATTTAAAATACGAAACATGGATATCGATATGTGGCAATGGCCTTGATGGATTTCTTTTTACAAATACGAAAACTCAAGCTCAAACTTCTGAGTATGCTTTTCGTTGAAAAGAAAACTCCTTGAGGCTCATCCTCTTTCTGCCGATTCGATTCTGCGCGAGGATTAGAAATATTTCTGAAGGTAGTGTTACTCGGGTGGTACGATATGGCGATGGTGGGTGGATGGTGGGAATGGAAAAGGGAGAAGAGAGTATGGCGAATCGATATCGATATCGACGATTTACAACAGAGATAAATGGAAGATGAAAATGACAAACCGACGCATTAGTCTCCATAAAAGGATTCCGAAGGAAATTCCGAGCTTTTTCGGGAACTTCCGTGAATTGCAAGCCCTCCTCCCCCTCCCCTTTTTTCCTTCTTCTTCGTAGATTCTAGTATCGAGAGCTACCCAAAGTAAAAAGTCGAGAAATCTTTTTAAAGAACGCGAACGTCTTTTCGTCTTTTTTTATTAAACGGAGGAAGAAAAAAAAGACAACTTTCCAATGGCAAATTGCGTGTATAAATGTAAGTATTCGTCGTTTGAGAATGAATTGTGAAAAGAAAATGAATACTCAAGTGAGAATGGTCGAACTTATTTTTACGTCTAACGTATCGAAGTAAATCATATTTATTTTCTTCATAGTTCGTGCAGAATTCAATGTAGAAATACAATTGAATAATTCTACTATATATGTATATATTTTTGGATCGATAAAACCCAAACGATTTACTTACATTTTTCTATTATAAAACTATGAAAATAATAGAGATAAATGAATAATAAATGTGAAAAAATTGCAAAGTACAAAATATATGTATACCAAAATGTATAATATTAATTTTTTTTTTTTAACGAAAAGAGAAAAGGTAATTATTATGAAACACGTAATATAATGTGAAAATTAATTGGATATCAATTGATGTGTACTCGTTTATATATAAATAGATTTCGTTCGACGACACAATTTTCATTGCTACGCTTTGAGCACGATAATGTGTTGCAATGTTTTATATATATATATATATATATATATATATATATATTTATATATATATTTATTTTTGTTTGAATATACGTATGAGACATTAAACGTATGCATATTTTCGTTCAAGCTCTTATCGATTTTATTAATGTAATTCTACACACTGGAAACTATATTTTTACATAGTAGAATATGTCCAACGTGTGTAAATCAAGATTTAACGTGAAAAAAATTGCAGAATAAATAAAAAGACAAAAAAAAGAGGTGCATATTAACATAACGTGTTTTTTTCGATATACCGATGACGTTGACATTTAAGTTCTAAGAAAATAATGTTTTTTCCTTAAAACATTGTTTTCTTTTCCTTGTTTTTAAAACGATAAGCAGAGTTACTGAATCGTATGAAATACTTTCGATACGTTCGAATGTTCATTCTACTTTATTACAAAAAGGATTATCAATAATAATATATATGAAAATTTAATTGATTTATATTAAAATAATATTTAAATAATGTATCTATATAACTCTAAAATTGTTGTTGATAATATTATCATTAACATTATCAATGCATTTATATATCTATATGATACAATTATCATACAATTATATTAATTATGTGCAATTTTGATATTTTAAATAATGATATAATAATTAATATTACCAATTATACCAAAATGTATACTTATATAATATATTTGTTTATGTTATTGACAAAAAACAAAGTCACGTTTCTATGCACAGTACTCTTGCGTTGAATATTTACGTATTTAAATAATAATAATAATAATAAAATAAAGAGAGAGAAATAAAAAAAAAATCTATGGAAAAATGATACACGTATTCGATGAACTAACTGCAACTCGATAAAAGACATAATCTTGGTTAAAAAAGTATGAAAGTAAAAGCGAATATTAGGCTCCTCCATCGGGATGCATAGGAAATTAATGAATTCTCCCTTCGAGCTTCGTTCGAATTTGCAAAGGAAATGAAACTTTTGTGAAATTGGCGTTTCCATGGTATAACAAATGGTATCGCTATCTAGCAGTAAAGAGTTGGAATTAATAGTCTGCCGACAAGCGGATTTGGTATGTAGATACTATGGTACTAAAGGATCCTATTGAGTTTTCAAAACGCTTTTTATCGCGTTTTACTCTTTAATCTCTTTCCGTATTTTCGCATGTTACTAATTCAACATTTTCGTTATACGAAACCATAATAATATTTATTATTTTCCATAGATATAATTGAGGAAAAGAGGTAGGAAGCAATTTAAAAATAAAGTTAATAAATTTATCATTGCAGAAACAATGAAGAAAAAATATACGAAAATAAAATTTATAAACATTTCACACTAGAATGAATAAATTTTAATTATTAATAGCAATAGATTCTTTACAAAGAATAAATAAATAAATAAATAAATAAATATATATATATATGTATATTTCTTTTTAAATAGGTATTGTTTATATAATATAATATTTAAAATGTATGCAACTGTATCCACATGGAATTTCGTGCAATATTGTAAACTGAAGAAAAAGAAAACAAGAAAATGATTCGTATTAAAAATAAAAAATAAACGTATCTATAAGATTGATTTTTTGTTGCCGAAATGGAACAATAAACATGGATAAAAATTTAAATGTGCACTTACTTACCAAAGATAATCTTATTCATAAGGTCCATCTTTTCCGCACAAATTATACGAAAATATATTGTAATTGATTTCATTTGTATTTCTTGTTTTAGTTCCTGTCCTCTCATATTTATTTGCTAATCCATAGACTTGCGTACAATTATGTTTCCTAAGGATTTTACTTTTTCTAATTTTCAAACCAGAAACGAAATTTAATAATTTCTTATCTGTCTTTATTACTTTCTATAATAGAAAAGAAAAAGAGAGAATAAATAATATTATTCGTAATCAGATTAAATGAAGTAATACATATTATCCGATGAAAAATGTAATTCTTACCACATTCTTCTTGTCGTATGCAGTCCTTACATCCCACTTTCTAAGAGAATAATCTTCTATACTACAAAAATACATCGAATGACGTTCAATAGCCAATGCCACTTTACGAAGTCTAAAATTACCCTTATCTTGTATGATTTCTATGTTTGAACTATTACTTTTCTTCAACGAATTCACTGATACGTGAAACATATCATAAGAAGATAATGAACTCAAATATAATTTATTACAAAATAATGTATTGCAGTTAGGATTTAGGCCATCTAAAAAAAATGAAAAGAAAATCAATATAATATTAGCTATAAATTAACGAACGAAGCAGATCATCTTTAGATTTTTGTTCACCTATATACAGTGCTAAACCAACGAGACCATCATTTAAATACATTTTGTCACCGTCTAAGTCGAAATACGAGGCTTTTGGATCGTTCGCAAAAAGTGGTGATTCAAATCTTTGAAATTCATCGCCTCCTCTCCATACCACTAATGCATAACCTTCTATATCCGCCATGTATGCCTGTTTAATTGAATCGAAAAATACTAATCGTTTCAATTGATCTCCGAAAAGAACAAATTAAATAAATAATTATAATAATCTGACCGTTATGTGTTCACATTTTTTTCCATGAGTTACGATCAAAGGAGTTGCTAAAACACCTTTACCATTTTTGTCAGCACCATATTTGTTTGGAATTTCCTTTATAATTACCGCCTTATTAGTTTCTATATCAAATGCTATAAGTTTTTGTGGGCATAGAGTAATATCTCCGTTCTTTCCATTATCCAGTATCCATAATCTATTACAATTGTCAATCTAGAATAAAATAATGATTTAAATAAAAAAAATACACAAATTCGGATTTATCGTTTGCTACTCACGTCCATTCTGTAAACGCTGATGATAGTTTCATTACAATTTTTTCTTGTATCTGCCCAATCCCAACTTGGATAGGGCGTAACTACAGGACCTTCACCCCGTATTTTATTTTTATTAAGCGTTCCGACACTGGCAGGTACTCCAGAAGCACGAGGTATGCTAATAAATACTTTCCCATCTACACAATTAATTGTTATTTTACTATTTCATACGAAGTTCATTTATTTTATTCGTCAAATATTTTTCATTTATTACTTGCTATTAATGCATCTATAGCTGGCGAAGCATTTTTTACGTATAATCCGTTTTCGATATAATATTTCTCCATACCCTCACCTAACCAATCATAATCTATGTATCTCCATTTGAACAATTCTTTTTGTAAGGACAAAGATATTAAAAGAGATGATAACAACAATTGCAACGTCAACTTCATATTTACAGAAAAACAAAGAGATGTTCTTCAGTAAAAAAAGTTAATGCCGTTGCAACTCTGTTATAGTTTCAACGACAATTCCTTCCTTTTTTGTTGCACAAATGTTTATATAAGTATACATCAGCAATTATGTAATCAGTTAAAAGTATTTTTAAGGTTATAACAATTGCGTGACTAATTTTAAGAAAATGCATATCATTTAATTACTGTAAATTATCTAAAGTTTCTAACAAAATCGCATATGCGCATCAAAATTGTAATAATTTAACTACATAAATATTTAAAATAGTAGATAAGAATATATTCGACGATATATTTTCGTATTAGATATAGAAATAATAAATAAATAATATTAATCAAAATATTTACTTATTAGGGTAAACGTGTTGCACCTAAATAATATTTGTTATATCTATGTAATTACGCAAATATTACATGTTATACTAATATGAAATATTTACGTGCAGTCGAAGTTAGTTCATTATCAGTATTAATTAACTAGAAATGTTTCTCAGTAAACGAATCAAAAACTATCGTTGAAATATAACAAATATTTTATTTTAAAATATTATGCAGACGAAAATATTATATAAACACAAATCTTATGCAAGTTATTTGTTCGCAAATATATCCTCCCTTTTCTTTATCTTCATCTACAATTGAAATATTTCGTTTTAAAATACTTTACTATAATGTTTAGTCATGCTAATTTACGTTCACAAAAATTTAGATTAAACAATACTTAGCATATTGACTAGTTCACTGAAATAATAACTTACGTGTAAACAAGTTTTAGTTAATGCATTAGATAATTATTATCATTGAAAAATAACAGAATAAATTCATTGCAAAAAATAGATATGATAAATAAAAGATCTTTTACGTAATGTTTCATGTAATTGAAATAGCATATATCTTCAGTGTCAAACTTGTCGTCCTTAATAATTTTCAATTTTAAATAATTACAATTATTATAAAAAAAAAAAACATGTTAATGTGATTATTTAACAGACAGCTAAAAATAAATTTTTATAAAATTTTAAGTAGAGAAGATCTTTTCCATCACAGTTACAAGTACTTCAAAATTGTTAAAAGTATCTATTTTTTAATATATTATTTAAAAAGTAATAAATATAAATCATTTTTAACTTTATTTTATTATTTTTAAACATAATAGAACGCAGTATTGAGTATCCTTGAAACGATATATTATAAAATAGAGTACACTTTTAAAATTACAATTAGAAGTAACTAGATTAAAAATGAAAGGATTAAAAATGTTATCAATATTTATTTTGAATTTCCCTCTCGATATCTAAATCAACGAATTTATTTTTAAAATCTAAATAAAAAGAAGAATTATTCAAAATTGCAAATTTTAAAATGAACTCTCGTTATATTTTTTTATACATTGAAATAATTGAAAAAACAAATTATCGTTTTACGTAAATTGTTCATTCGCACTTGTAATATTAAATTATTATCATAGTTAAATATTCATTTTCTTATATAACTTTAAACGTATAATTACATATATCTATATGAATATGAAACTATAATTATCTTTATTTGAAATTTATTATAAACAAAATAAAGTAAAGTTGCTTGTTATTTTGCATAGGTTTTTGATCATTTTAAAATGGCGTCTGATTTCAGCTCGATTCTCATGTGATGAAAATGTCGGTAAAAAAATAGTGATTTTTTTCCAATTAGATCATCTCTACTTTCCCTAGTTTACAATTCAACGAATTTCACAATACCAGAGTTATTAGGTATAGTAATAAAAGGAAGGTTAAAAAAAAGTTATGGTTGGTCAACTCACCATAAAGCGTGGCATGTCTAGTGAATTGTAAATCGACCCTTAAGATTTTTGGCGGCAGTATTGGTGCTACTTTGTTGTATAGGTTATGTTTCATTTTACGGAAAAACGTGAGAAAATGCTATCGCATTCATTGTCTCAGTCTCAGGCAATTATAATTACTTGTAAGGTTTTTACGTGAAAAATAACAAAATTATAACAAACAAACAGTTAATCCTAATTTTAATTCAAAATGTTATCTGCTGTGGTTACTAACGGGGATAATAGCGAAAAAGAAAATCATCCGGATGTAGAGATTCTTGATGGACATAGATTTTCATTAAAAAGAAGCATTTTTAAAGAAAATAATATTAACGAAACGAATTCACATATCGAGAAGAATAATGAAAATAATATTGAGAATGGTTATGTACCACTCTCCATAAACAATGCATTGTGCGATGTAGGTAACGATAGAAAAAAGTTACGCAGTGGAAAATATGTTAGCGATAAAGTTATGCTTAGTCCAAGCAGAATCAAAAAAAACATTAAAATAGAAAAATTTACATCATATTGGAAAAACTTCACCAAGCCAACTAATTCAGTAGAACCCATAATAAGGACCGAAGAAAATTCTTGTAAACCCATTGAAAGTATAAATGAAACTATGCCTAAACTTAGTTTTGAAACAAACTTTATAGAAACCAATGAAACTGTGGATGATGAATTTGAAAATACTTGTAAAAAAATTAAACATAAAGATAGTAACCATAATATAAGCGAAGAAAATCCAGTAATTAAAAAAGTTGTAGATACTCCACAAAAATGTGAATATTGTCGTCAAAAGTTGATTGTAAATGAAATAAAGTTATATCAAGGTCATCCTAATGGAGCTGTGGAAGAATTTGTTGCCTTGACTGATTCTAGATTGTCCTTATTTACAGGAGAAGAAGCCATGATACATGAAAGTGATGAAAGGCCACAAAATAAGTTAACACATTTTAGGTGAGTAGTAGTATGAAATTGTTATACTTTATTATATAAAGCAATAAATAAAATATGTTAAAGTAATATATTTATATTATAACTTCTTAGCGTATATGACAACAATGGTCATCTATGTCCTTTTGATACCGGTTTGATTGAAAAAAATGTAGCATTATATTTCTCTGGATATATGAAAGCTATTTATGAGGAAAATGCATGTCCCGAAGGAGGTGTTCCTACTAAAGATATGGGACCAATAAATGAATGGTGGGTGTCCGGATTCGATGGAGGAGAATTAGCTCTCATAGGTTTTAGCACATCATTCGGAGAATACATTTTAATGGAACCTTCAGAAGAATATGCACCTTTTATGGACTGTATAAGACAAAAGATTTATATGAGCAAAATTATTATAGAATTTTTATTAAATGAAATCAATCCAACTTATGAGGATTTACTGAACAAACTTCAGGTATTTTATTGTGATTTAGATATTTCAATGTTACTGTAACAATTAGAATATAAACTAACTTAATATTTTTTTTATATCAGACCATAGTTCCACCAAAAGGTTTACCTAAATTTACGGAAGATGCTTTACTTCAACATGCACAGTTTATCTGTGATCAAGTTATTTCTTTTGATTCTTCTGCCAGACCAGAAGATCCATTGCTAATTACAAATGCATGTATGAGAGCTTTAATATCTTTAGCTGGTATAACTGTTGGTAAAAAAATTGCAATGCGCAGAGTTCAACAAAAGCATCAAAAACAAAAAAAGCCTTGTTGGACAAAAGCAACAACAACTAAATTAGTTAATGATACGTTTGAGACATTCTTTACCGATCAACTGGCAAAGAATGAAGACAAAAATATGATTGTATGTATATGATAGAAGAATATTTTTTTTTTAATGAAAATATTTTTCTACATAAATATTATATGCAGGGTCCTAGAAGACATAGATGTGGAGTATGTGAAGCTTGCCAACAATCTGATTGTGGAACTTGTATTGCGTGTAAAGATATGGCTAAGTTTGGTGGTGGTGGAAAAAGTAAACAAGCATGTTTTAAAAGAAGATGTCCAAATATGGCTATTCAAGTAATTATATTTAAATGACTATTTAAAAAATAATATGATTAGAATACTATTAAACATTTTTTAAAATACTATTCAAATATATTTATTAATAGGAGGCTGAAGATTCAGATCTTGAAGATGACGAGTTAACTGATACTTTTATAGAAAATACAAAGATTACTCAAAAGATGATTCTTAAATCATTCAAAAATGTCTATAAAAAAATAGAGTGGATAGGACAACCTGTTGCCGTTGATGGTCGAAGAACATTTTATGAAGCAGTTAAATTAATAGATGAAGAGATTCGAGTCAATGATTGTGTACTCATAGAATCAGGTGATCCAACTGTTCCGTTACAAATCGCAAGAGTTATATTTATGTGTGAAGATAAAAGCGGTGCTAAACTGTGTCATGCAAACTGGTTTCGTAGAGGTAGCGACACAGTTCTTGGTGAAACATCTGATCCTTTAGAATTATTTTCATTAGATGAATGTGATAATGTACCATTCTTTTCCATTAAATGTAAAGCTACTGTTATATATAGAAAAAAACCACAAGATTGGTCTGGATTAGGTAATTATTTTATTTTTCATTATTGAAACAATTCAAAGTATTATCATAAATTAATATCAAATTTAATTAAGGTAATTCGGATGAAGCATTGGAGAATGAAATAAAAGATGAGAATGGGAAGACATTTTTTTATCAAAAAAAGTATACTTCTGAAACTGCCCGATTTGAAGATCCTGCTCTGGATAGTATCTGCCAGCGAAAAGAAATTAGTCATCGATTTTGTCCTGCTTGTGTACGTTTCACCGACTTACAATGTTATTATACACCAAAGGTAAAACAAAAATTATTTAAAAATAGAAAATAAAAACATATTTTATGTTCAATTAATAACCATATTATCTTTTAAGGTTTTCGAATTAATAGAAGAAAAAAATTTTAGAGAAGTAATTTACGGTGTTGTAAAATATAAAGGTGAAGAATTTAGAGTAGGAAGTGCAGTATTTTTATCACCAGGTGCTATAAGATTTAAATATACAGCAACGAGTCATACCATATCAAAGCAAAAGAAAGGAAAGGCAGTAGATGAAGATATGTATCCAGAATATTATCGAAAATCATCAGAACACGTGAAGGGTTCAAATTGCGATACACCTGAACCTTTCCACATTGGATATATAAATACAATATACGTTACTACCACTAATAAACTAGTTGCTTCTT